TATTACTGTATAATAAAATATTAATTATATTTATATATATTTCTACTATATATTTTCTATATATAATTACTCTAAACTAAAATCAGCTAAAATACTATTTTAACTATAGAAAATAATAATTTTAATAGAATTTTTAATTAAAAATATATTTTCTTTCTATATATAATTAATAAACAGAATTTTTTAATACTATTAATAGAGTATTCTTACAATCGGTTAAGATAGTTAGATTAATTCTAAATTAACTACAGTTAATCTAGCTTACTGTCTACTATACTAGATAAAAATTGATAGTCTTGATACTAAGTATAGTTAATCTAGATTAACTGTCTAATTTTTAGCTTAACTGTGATTAGGTATAAAAATTCTATTAACCTAGCCATAACCTAGCGGTTAGATATAACTGACCCCATTAACCTAACCTAACCTGGCCAAACGCCAGTCTATTATAGACCGTTAGTGTCAAAGAAATATCTACTAGTCAGGGTAGAAGACCTGTCAACTAGGTAAGGGTACGTAGGCAGAAAGGCAAACAGTAGATACTATATAGACCGAAGGCTGATTATTGCCTTTCTTTTATTGATATTAAGCTATCTTTTATAGCTAAAAGAGATCTCCCTTTTTCTCTATAGAAAAGGATTGAGAGAGGGCTACTATCTGTTATTGGAAAGGCAGCGGATATACCCTCTGATGTTGCTGTGCGGCCACCGAGATGTCTCCTCACAGCAGGCAGGGTATACGCTGCAGTCATCATGGGAGTTACCCTGGAATCCGTGACAGTTAGACCCCGGTACCTGTAAGGGATATCGCCAGGGCCCGATATTCCACAAGGCCAAAAGGTCATATAATTCGGGATCAACGATCCCGAATGCCCTGGGGTCACCTATATAGTGTACTGCCGGTATAGTACCTTACTTATAGTAGAGTATTATTGTCTGAGATAGCGAGCTGAGTTATCTGCTGTTATATTACTATTACAATTATTGTTGTCTTGTTAATATTATATACTCTGTTTTAACATTATAGTATTTCTTCTATATATATATCTATTAAAGATATATATACCACCGCCTATATACAATAGAGATTAATTAATGTAATAAATCTGTGCCTGATCTCAGCCCCTGTTATTATTCTCTGAGGTATACGAATCCAGCGGGGAAGGAGGCTCTTTATTTGCGGCTTTATGAGTCTGGGCCGCGTGATCGCCACAATCTCCAATACACTGCGCTCCTATTGGCAGTATTACCAGACTAGTAGGGGCCTGGTATGTACCTAAAGCCCCCGTCTATACCCCTTTCAGCCTGGCGTACTTGATTAACAGTGTTACCTACAGGTTAATATGACGTGGCTCTCGGGTATATTGTATTCTGGAGCAATCCGTTGGCATTGCCGCCGCCTGCATTCCGACCTGTGTTCCTATTTTCAAGAGGGTGAAAGCCAAGGATAACAGCCGGAATGGACTGCTGATAAGCATGCAGAATTACTACGAGCTCTCGATTCTACTATTTGGAATTATTTAAGAATTTACGTTCATTGTAAGCTATTATACCTGATCTAAGATCTATTATAGACTAGAGACTTAGATCCAAAGCACAATCTATTGTGGGCTTGAGCCTAAGTAAGTAGAAACGATCTCTTACCTAAAGGTCATCATTAGCTTTACTCATCTCATTATGCTTTATATTACGGTTAGTCGTAAGTTTAATACTATCCCTAGGCTGTGTCTGTTCCGATTCTGCACCATCTGGAGCTGTATGCCCGATGGTAGACATGTAGAGTTAGTCAGGCATTCATTCCACTGCGAATCTCTGACCAAAGATTCTAGCCAAGATTCAATGGTGATCCTGTTTGCAGAGAGGAGAAGTTAAATTTCAATAGTAGGTCGACGATCATCTCGTGTTAGGATACTGCTCAAGAGGGTTTCGATCAGCGCGGAAGAGCTATAAAGACAAACACAGGCACCTTCTATCTCCATCAAAAGTTGAATCATTCACTTGCTCTAAACAATCATCCTGCGATTCGAAAGTCCATTGACAACACTTCACGATGAAACTTTTCGCTATCATCTTCCCTCTTGTTTTAGGGCTCACCTCAGCCTTACCCGAGTCCGGATTCCAAAAGGCGTCTCTCATCCAGCGTGAAGAAGCTGGAGCAGCAAGTGAATTTGTTAGTATATTCATAGGTCATATGAAACGACCGGACATTCTTCTATGGTGTTGGAAGGAAAGACCAATTAATCACGGGTTGTTACAGTGTGATCAATATTGCAGTGATTGCTCAGTGCGCAATCCCCGTTGCGTTATATGTGTAAGTTATTCATCTGGCCTGGGGATTTTGAACAGTTCTTCACTCAGATATTAACACATTTCTATTGTTTGTAGTGCCGTAAGGAGTGGGACTAGCCGCTGGGTTATACTGGAGGGTGGGAGTAGCCATCAAGAGGAAATGCTATGCCGATACTATATGCTGCCTTCATTGTTTTCTTTTTTTCTTTCACTAGTAGGCAATATCGCTGGTGTAGTTCACTAGAATTGATATCCTTAGTGCCCCGCTAGCAAGGCATTTTCGCCCCGCGAAGCAAACGTAATCGTTCAAATGTCACACACCAACCCCACATACAGATTAAGACGGTGAGCGAGGGGAGATGATATTTTCTTCCTAGTCATCTATTTCGCTCATCGTCCGTTCGCCTGAAGAGTAGTCTACTTTTGTCAAGAGTCGCAGGACCCTAGACTGTTGGCTTCCGTATCCTGGGCAACATCTAACTTTCAACCCAAATGGTAAGAGCTGTGTGGACAATTGTGTGAAAGGTACGGAGTATACCGCACTCAATACGAGATCTGAGGTGGCACTGTGGGGTACTGCGTTCCATCGATGGAGGCTGCGGCCTTGGCTATGCCGATCAGTGTCTAGATGATATTATCACCTCAATCACTCATTATTCCAAGGGTCTAAATGACTCCTTGTCATTTAAACTGTGTGATATTTCCCACTCGGCATAGGATAGTAGTGCTAAATATCGCCATCGTGGCATTTCGCTGATATTCTAACAAGAGCCGCCGTTGAATGGCAATACAAGCTTCTAGATATACGGGAGGCAGATCACAAGTGTGGATCGGTCAGCTTTGTGACTCCTCAACTTTTAGGTAATATGGTTAGAAGATCATCCGCCAAGTTGAGATCACATCTGATCTAGGTTCAAAGACCATTGTTAATATTTACCAGTAAACTGTAGTTCTCGTTGATCTAAGAGGTATTCGCGGTGAAACAATTCAACGCTTCTCTTGGGCCGTAACTCAGAATTGAGAAATAAAAGTCTTCTCAGCACTACCCGAAACCTTCGACGCAATCACACTGCGACTCGTGTCAATCACAAAGCTGACGGTGCTATCTCCGATGGCACAGCCTCCAATTGACACTGTGACCCAGCCCGGCGAGTCAGTCTGCGCTCAAAAAGGAAAATGCTGGAGGAGGCAGGATGTCTGTTAGGTACCATTACCAATGCCAATGGCTAAGGGGAGCTGCAGTGTGGTTAAGGGGTCGCTGGATGGCTGAAAGTCCAAAGCTTGAGACAGACTCGTGGCAGGAGAAGTAGCCATGATGTATGTCCAAGTAGCCTTAGCAAAACTTTAGTTTGAACTGCAGCATAGAGAGTACATTGGGGGTGCTTGATATATGAGAGCAAAAGTAAATGACAGGTCGGAGTTGAAATACCGTGACGAAAGGAACAAATAAGAAGCAATGGAGCAAAGAAAACAACTTTGCTGACCTCTTCAGACGGCTTACAAAAGCAGCTCCTCCCGCGCTCTCTTTTACTGTTCTTTTGTCCTTTTCCCATTTCTTTCGTGGCCCTTTTTCAAAACAAAGTTGCCTCTTTGTTATTCTCCCCATCGCCAAGTTTAACCTCAAGTAGTCGATCACATATGGATTAAGCCAAACCTTGGCCATGAAGAAACGGCCCGTAACCACACAACAATGGACACAAGTCGTGAAGACCTGGTGAGTCTTTATTTAGTCCAATGTTATTATTCATCATGCAAAGGAAAGTGCTACAGGAACAGCACAGCGCGCGTACCGATCAGTGACAGGGGTAGACTGCTATCGTTTGGTACCTTCTTGTTCTGCTGGCAACAGCAGGGTTTTCTTCTCCAAGTCGAGATCAGAGATTTCTTAGCTTTAAACTATCTGCGCCTTGATCCTGCTCTCTAGTAGTTTGATCGCTGGTTTACTCTACGATCATAGATATTTACGGCGATTGGCTGTACTGGGCAGCTTTCTCGACGTCTACACCCGGTAGACAGCCTGTTAACTCGGTAAGGATACGTAGGCGAATCAGCAGAGAAAAAACGTCGAATTCATGATAGCAGAATCTAATACTGAGACTGATTCTTGTTCTGTTATACTCGTCTGATGCAAAGAAAGAATCACGTAGTCAATGCTTGAGGGGGAAATATAACGAGGCTATATTGTGCATGGTTTTGTCTGGGGTACTGTTAGCTATCCGTAGGTAATTAGGTATTCTACCCTGGCAGGTTTTATCTAGGCAAAAAGAAAGAGTATAACGCTGCCCAATCCACTAGCGAATCCCGTCTGCTGTATGTATAGCTTCATTATACTTTTTTCTTTTTATTCTGTAGCCGATACGGGTTTAGCACCACAACCGCCCTATCTTGAGTCCTTCCCCTGAACGCCTGCGCAGGCCTCCAAAGGCCTCTGATTGGACTTACTATTGGTGCGTGGCTTGTGCAGTGTATAGCTAATCTTGGAAGGGGATCCAAGTTCTTCTTCCATCAATTTTTGACGTGGGCTAGCATGAGTAGGCCCGGAAATACCTACGTCTGTTGTTCCATAGATCTGGTTATTAAACTGAGTACTATCACTAGACCGACGATAGATAGAGGAAAATATCTACAGTCGTTCTAGAAATTTGGGCTCGTATAGGAGTGTATGTTCCATTTATTCATGTCACTACGGCAGCACGACTGAAAAGATTCATCAATCCTGTAAGAGGGTCCCACGGGTTATGGAATTATAAAGTTGAGGTTTCTATATAAAGGTCCTAATGTCTTTAACTATAATACAATACAAACGATTCTAATAATAATAATAATACAGTCACTATAACGAAGATCTATGGGACCGAATCTCCCCCCACCACCGGTCGTCTTCAATCCAAGGAGCTGGATTCCACTGCTGTGCGATCGCGGACTTTATTTAGGAGCGACTTTGTATTTCTTGTGGAGATCTTGGATAGCCGTGTCGACCTGAACCATAAACTTCTCGATTCCGGAAGTTGTGATGTCCTTAAGGTCTCGGAATTCGAACAAAGGCACATTGCGAGTCCCCTGGTACATCTTCTCCGTCTTGGATCCAAGGCCTCCAATGGAACCGTCAATGGTTTTGTCAAATGCAGTAAGCAAGTCTTTCTTGGCGGCGATGCCTTCAATCCAGGCCTTGACGGTCAGGGTGGCGTCAGGAGACTTGGAAGCCGTATTTTTGAACGTGAGGCCGGCAAACACCTTGTTCGGCACTGGAGCCTTGGCCGTCCCGGTGCAGAATTTCTTGTCAAGCCTGCAATCTGTCAGTTGGGCAAACGGAGCAAGAGGAGATGTGACATTACTTACGCAAGCTTGCCAGCTGACACCTTGTAGCATGCGAGCTTTTCAAAAAGAGGCAAAAGAGGAATCCCCTTGAGCTTTGACTCGACTTGGTTGTAGAGGGTCACAAAGTCATTTCGAGGCATGAAGGGCGTGCGCAGCTTAGGACTCTCGTCTGGCTTAAGTGGTTTGCCGTCCAAGGATTTCGCATATGATAAGACCAAGGAGCAGAATGCAAGCACATCATCAGAAAGCGCGGCCGGCTTAATTTCTTTGACGGGGGTGAAGTATAGCTTTGTAACGAGGATAGAATAGTCTGTTCTAAGCATAATCCCGTTGAGAACGTGGGCCTTGTTGTCCTTATGCATCTGCATAATGCTGTACAGTGCCTCAAGGGGCATTGGCGCAGTGACCTGAGGGTCCCACGGCACAATGTCTGGTTTATCTTTGCTGGTTGGGCTAGTAATTTTCCATGGGTTGCACTTGTTATTCGCAATCTGCACCTCGGTCTGCGGTTTTTGCCATGGGTACCATTTCACCTGGCGACGCGGGTTAATAGGACAGAGGTTAGGATGGGAACTTCATGCAATCCTTACCAGATCGTCTGCTGCTGCTTTTCCAGCCTTTGCAAGCTCTCCAGTCCCGACTTTGATTTTTTGGCCGTCAAAAATGAACTCGGCGTTGAGTTTTCCGGGGTCAACCCCCGTGTCGGCCGTCAACAACCAGTTTGTGCCCTGACGTTTGTCAACCACTGCTTTCTTTGCCGCGTTGGTGTTGTCCATCGAACAGCCTGGGTGTGCAAATTTGAAGAATGGGCTCTCCAACTCGACACCTATGCCTGCCGACCCATCGGCAGTAGGCCCGTCACGGTACACCATGATATCGTCAACATGCTCCGTTGTACTACGGGCGATGCTGGCTGCTGACGCCGTCAGGAGAACGGGCAACATGTAGGGAAGTATATGCATGGTGGGCAGGTTATTCCTTTCTGGAATATGATCTGCTCGGCAATGGCAAGGGAAAATAATGACAGACTTTGCACTGAGCTGAATTCCTCAAGCATCAACGGAACCGGTCTGGCTTTTATAGACATCGCCTGGGCGAAGCACCGGTTCCCAGATATACAATATGTTGACAAAATATACAAAGGATTTTCTCCCATATCTACGGCCGGATGCAAGTCGGTTCCGAATTGCAACAAAGCAGCAGCATATGCAGATTGACACATGCTTTAGACCTACAGGATCGACCGACAATTTGGGGGCCGTTTAAGATCGACTTCCTGGCGTGGAATTTGGATGCGTATTCGGAGGATACTTATACTCCGCGGGACCGCAGCTGGTGTGTTGGTGGGTCCCATCCTCCACGCTAAAATCCCTCCAGCCCCTTACTCAGGTAGTATTCTGCAGCTTTTCTTTGCAGTGGGCAAATACTGTCAGGTGACTCTGGTAGTGATTCTTCCGCGCCGCTCGGTGTTTGATAGTGTTTCATCGGATGGTCAAAGGGAATTTCGACTCGCGCCTGTGGTCATTTCCATCTATATCCTAGCACCGCCATGGCTGCGTTCACGCAGTTGCCAAATGAGCTCCTGGAAAACATTATCCTGCATTCCTTGCCAGAGGGGTTTGAGAGCTTGGCCCTAACTTGCAAGCATCTGTATGCACTCTGTACCCCGCATATTAAGCACCACAATCGACTACGCTGGCATTTCGAGAGCTTTGAGTACGGCAAGACAGATCTAGTGGTCCAGCATAAGCTGTCCTTGTTCACCCTTCCCTACACAGCCTGCTCTGCATTTGATTTGATTGCACGCATCGCGGTTGAGCCGACAGTAGCCCACTACATTGGAGAGGCAGATTTCGAGAAAGACGGTCAATTCACTAGAGGCATATCCCGCACGTTTGCCACCGATGCCAGTCGTGATAAAGCTGTGACCAAACTGCTAGCTGAGTCTTCATACTTACGGGAAGCAGGCCTTGCATGGCAGGAATACTACGCAGCCATTGAAGATGATCTGGACGCCGCCCGCTATTCACAACATGCTGCGGCTTTTGTTTTGACACTCCTGCCCAATATTAAGGTTCTCAAGTTACCAAGAGAGTGGAAACCGATCGCTGCAACCAATAAGCTTCTCGAAGTTATTATGCGCCGATCAAGGCGGGCACTTATCCCTCACCACAAGCCGAGCATTGCCCAAGTCACTAGATTCGAGGTATCAGCCTCGCTGGATGCTGGTGAAAGATTTGATCTAGATTGGGCAACTTGTTTCCTGACCTTGCCGCACGTTCGGTCCTTCTGGGGTCTCGGATGCGTAGGCACAGGCGACGGATATTGGGCCATCACATCTGCATATCTGCCCAATGGCTTTCAATCACTTGAAGCGGTTCACTTCATGAGCGCTTCTATTGATGACAAGGCCATAGCAGGCTTTCTAAAACATACCCCAAACCTCAAGACATTGAGATACTCGCATACCACAAACAACAACGGTGGCCTTCAGGATTGGGATCTCTGCCGATTCGTTGCAGCAATCGAGCGCGAGGCCGGGAGCCACCTCGTGGAGCTTTCCATCTCGATTGATGAACTGCGCGGCTCGATTACTCCAGGCAAAGTGTCAATGCGCGGGTTTTGTCGGCTGGAAAAGCTCGAGCTTCCCCTCGAAATCACTATCTGCACTCTTCACGCATTGGGAGAACAACAAGCAAACTATTCCGATCTATTTTTGGGTGACCTCATACCTTCTTCGGTCTCTCAGCTGTCCTTGATCTCTCACGGAATGGACGGCTGGGAGAAGGCCCTCAGTATGCTGTTCCGTGACTTTGCCGCCAGGAAGGGTTCTCAGGTGCCTGCTCTTAAAGAAATCTACCTATCCTGGCCGATCGATGTGGACGATTTGGACGAAAAGCAGTATACCACGCTAGCTGTGGAGACCCAGAAGGCAGGCGTGGTCTTAGATATCATGTCGGACCCTTTGACTTGGGATGGTGAAGAGTGATCAATCCAGAGTAAAAAGGGTATAACCAAGCTATCCGTGCTGCTTGCAGAATAGTTCCTTCGGAGGACAATCACTGGAGCCTTTCAGCACATGGGGAAGCAAGTCTCTCCACGTGTAAGTGCACCTAACGAGGCTTTTACTATCATTGGGCACATCTCCCCCCCGCCGTCTACGAGATGGCCGAGTCCCACCAGAACGGTAGACTATGAATAACTTTTAACAATTTTGTTTGTCACATACGACCATCAGGTAGGGGGAAAGGGGACTTCCCTTCCGCTCAGTCGCACTTAAACCACACGCGGTTGGGGTAGTACTACTATACATGGTATAGTATCGAAAAAAAAAAAAAAAAAAAAAAAAGAGCAGATCCCCACCCCTCCCCTCTCTACCCGTGTAAAGACGCCAGCTCGAAGCTACTACTCCTCACTCTCCACCAAAACCCCCTCCCCCTTCAAAGCATTGACGGCCTCAGCAACCCACTCCTGACACCGTCTCAACGGCTCCCGCGGATACAACCTCCTCGCCCCGTGAAACTGCTTCTTGGGCACTGGCACGCCCTCACAACTCCGTAAGACGCACCCATACTCTGCAATCGCCACTGTACCCAGCTTCTCCTTGCCACAAAACCCTGGCATCTCCTCCGGCGGCTGCTCAGTCCGGTGCTCGAAGATCATGCCTTCCTGTATGTTCCCTTTGACGTGGTAGATGTGCCCGGTGGAGGAGCCGTTCTCGTGAGTCTCGACGAAGAGGGCATGGTGGTCGCGCGGGAAGCCGCTTTCGACAATGAGGTAGATCGCATAGGTTGTCATTTCTTGTTTGCTTCCTTCTTTTTATTCTTATTTTTATTTCTATTCCTATTTGTTTTGTTTTCTTACCGTGCAGATTATCTCTGGATTCGCAGTGTGAGCTTTTGTGGGGGTTTGTAATATAGTTGAAACTGGTTTTTTCTTGGAGTGACCACAAGATGATTTGTATTGGTGGTTACTTCTTATAGAGAGATAGGTGGTATGCCTTATTAGCTAGGCAGATATCAGTGTTGCCTACTGGGTGGCAGCCTGGGTATCGCCGCCATCATGAGTAAAGGCATTTAATGCCATTGTCCTAGCACCTGTCAAGGTCCAGTAGGTGTTCTATATTTAGATGACCGGTTTTGATTTAGATCCGTCCAAACATGGCGCTTGGTAGGTATATCTCAATACTTACTAGGTTCAGGAATAGCATCCGAGCAACAATGAGAATCAGAACTATGTAGTTTCAGGGTGAATGGTTTGCTGGGATATATACTGGGACTTTTCTAATGTAATTTTCTAAAAATAGTAGATATCTAATATCTCTTAGTAGATTGAGTAGATCTGACAAAGATAGTAATGGATATATAATATTAATATTATTACTATCCCTCCCAGTTATTGTTATATTTTTATTAGATTTATCTGATTTGTCTACTTTTTACTTTCTCGGTATTGTAGGTCTGTTTACTGGCTCCGGGGACACCTATTACGGCCTTAGGGCCAGGCAGAAGCCCTCACCAACACGTTTTGCAATGATGAATTAGCATGACTAGGAAGATTGGTATGCTATATCCTTCACTGAATTATATACGCTATAAAGTCATGAGAAGGGTAGGCGTTGATATAGTAGTGATACTAGTCATGATACAGAAGCAATGTGAAGGTTATAAGCGTCAAAGTAACCGTACAATCAAATGTGGACCCCCGTCAACGCGACCAGGTATGATATAGAAGGATCTGAGATGGAGGAGTTCAAAAGCCACAAGTATGTACAACCTCCTTCCATGGTCTATTCTTATAGCTTGGGTGGCACAACCCTCTATATAAGAAGCCAGTCGCGTCCCAACTGCCCGATATTGAATATCCACTGCGAAGACAATGTCTGTTGGGTATCACCCATCTTCCAGAACCTTCTCAAGATATTTGCAGCGTTAACCACATTGATGCATTTTGTCTCGAACCAGAATTTCTCCAGACAACTGACGACGAAGTCTCGCTGGTCTTGTTGCTGGGATTCTAAGCCCGCAACAAACATAGGCCAGAGTATACATTTGAATAGGGCCTCGTCGCACCTCATGACCTCGATGATAGCAATCAATTCACCCACCAAGTTATCGAGGGGTGTCATTTCTCCGACAAGAGCATCTGAAACGCGTCTACCGTATATGAGTGTGCCAGCTTTATATGCCTCTGCCAACGTTGACAGCATGTTAGTATCATGTGTCGAATGAGTGTCTAGTTGTGGTAGGTTCGATGCCCAGGCCCGGCAGTCAAAGTCTTGTGTTAGGTTAAGTACTATGCTGATATTCTCAATATATGATTGCAAGCTATCCTCTTCGAGGGGATGTGAACCTGCAAGCATGTCCCTAAAGATTGAAAATGACCGCAAAGCATCTAAAAGAAACTCAGGACAACCTAAATAGGATTTATCAAGACTCATTTGGAGGGGTGTTGTTGGCTCCTGTAGAGAGGTCGTGTTAGATAACAGCCGGGGACGCGTGTATGTTGCCCCGAGTGTGTCAATTCTGATTTCGGGAATGGTCAGTAAGGAACATGTATACACCGGGAGATTCTTCATCGACACGTACAAATAGATCTGTCTTATAATAAAATTACGCATTTCTTCCACAGTCCCCCCAAGACCCTGCTCGGTGCCTGTCCCTGACCCCATGGGTTGAATCTGAGTAATCAGTGTCTTGACGCCTTCTAGGTGAACGTTCCACTTGTCGCTTCCAGACTCCAAGAGGTCCAGAAAAATTAATAGAAATGCGCTGGCCATTACTATATCATGTGTGTCTAATTTCTCATCGCTCAAAGCATGCGATATCTCTTGTATAGCTTTGTATTTGAACCAAAGAGCATTGTGGTGTGCGTCAGATAATGCCGGAAGGGTTGATGTTCCAAGTTCATAGAATGATTGACCTCCATTAGCCATATGACGCGCCGAGAGTGCGATGATAGACGTCAATAAGATTGAATCACCCAAGGCAGCGGGTATTAGATTTCTTAAAGGGTTCCTCTTGCTGTCATACATAACGAACAGCTTGCATACGCATTTGCTATCTGTATGTGGTGTTAAAGCTTACTCGGTATGGTTTGGTGGATTAGGTAAAATAGTAGCATGCTTACAATAGTATAAGTAGTATTTAGAAACCTTGTCTAGGCTTGAAGCGTAGGGGTCATCCGGATTTACTAGTACATTGTCGACACCAAGACTACGAGGTCCTGCATTTTCAAGTTCGCACCGTTAGTTGAAAATATATATATCAGTAATGACCTCCCACATCGCCCCCGACGACAGTATCTCACCAGGGGTATCCTCGCCATACTCCAATGAAGCATCATCATTGGCTTTTGACTTGGCATTGGTTGAACCATCTCTCCTTGTCGAGTCTAGGTTGAACTTCGTAACAGAAACGGATGCATCCTTGACCGAAGAAACTTTCTTCTTACTCCGAAAGGCTGCACCCTGGACCCATCGGAAAGGTCGTTTCTGGAAACATTCCAGTCCAGCCTTTTGACATTTTTTGCAAGGAGGCTCCGTCATTTCGCATTCGATACGCCTGCGGCGACAAGTGTAACAAGAGGTATCCATTATTATTGCCTTTGTCGAAGACGGCCAATCCGTCATCGAAATTTCGCTGAATGTATTGCTTGTATCATTGGCAATTTACTTGAGTCATGACACAGCCATTGGTAGCTGCAATACAATAGATAGTATTGCCCGCATTGAATGCACGGAGCGGGGAACTGACACAGTCACATGACTCATGGCTATGGCCTGAGGCAGTGAATGGCCTGCCAGTCTTTTGAACCTTTTCAAGTAAGTTCCCCTTCCGGTCACGTGGCGCCAATAATAGTGAGCTGCCAAGCCCGGGTTCCCGGGCCGCGGGTAGACTAGCCCCTTTCAGGCACTGTCAATATCAGACCTCGGAGACGGCGAGCACGACGCAAGGTCAATTTCAGACTGGACCAGGGTTTGGTTTCTGCATAGTTGCCTTAATACTCTGTGCTACGCTAGGACTCTGTAGCTGGGAGGGAGCCTTGCTCATTCTCTTCAATTAAAACGAGGGCTGCCAATTAATACATGACAGCGGGGTCCTGTCAAACCTTAACAGAGTGTCATGGCTTACAACAAATCCCGAAATCCCGCTTACGATGAATCTTAATGCATCCTTTAATGTTACGCAAGTCGCCAAGAGAAGGGGTTTCCTCTTAAAGTACATTTAATTATGGCTACCCCTACACCCTTAGCCTAGATGGGCAACGTTCACCGTTTTTCTAGCCAAGTTCGTCCGCCAGATCGGCATAACCCCATACCTCTCTCGTCTAGTGATAAAAGACAAGAGTTGGCGGACAGGCACTGCCTTCCCCTCAGGAGCCTACACCACTATGTAGCCCTCGGGCCATAACCAGGCTCTTTCACCCAGTCCAGGGAAACCAACGACCTCAACTATCGAGATGGCCGAAAAGCGCACCGCCGCAAACACAACCTTAGCACCCCCTGAACTCAACGTTGGGCGAATTGAGAACCCTCTCCCAGTGATAGAAGTTGAGGAGGATTACTCACCGACAGATTCCGCGCTCGGAGGCAGCGATAGCCAAAGTTACGCCACGTCCCTACTTTCCGAAGTGATAAACTACAAGTACGAGAACGGCCGTCGATACCACTCCTACCGCGCAGGGCAGTGTGTGCTGCCAAACGACGAACAAGAGCAGGACCGCGAGGACCTATTACACCACGTTCGAAACCTGCATTTTAGTGGAGATCTCTACCACGCTCCGATCCCAGAGAATGTTGAACACGTTTTCGACATTGGCACCGGAACCGGTATGGGTTGCAGTTCGAAACACATACATCCTTTATTCATTCCGGGAAATTCGTTCACTTCTCGCTGACCAAACCATAATACAAAAGGTATCTGGGCTATCGACTTCGCAGACTTACACCCCAACGCTCGAGTAATCGGCACCGACCTCAGCCCCATCCAACCCGCCTGGGTCCCTCCGAACCTCGAATTCTTCGTCGATGATGTTGAAGCGGACTGGACTTTCAAACGAGACCACTTCGACTTCATCCGCGCATGCGACCTTGCCGGTTCGATCGCGGACTGGCCGAAATTGCTGCATCAAGCATATTCACATATGAAGCCAGGTGGATGGCTGGAACTATCCGACTTTGAGATGGAGCATTTCTCCGACGATGACACCCTTCATCTGGCGCCCACACTGGGCGAGTGGTTTAGACTGTTGATTGAGGCGAGCGCGAAGTTTAACCGGCCGATGAAGGTGGCGGCTGACCATCAGAGAAATATGATAGAGGCAGGGTTTACGGATGTGAAGGAAAAGATTTACAAGGTAGGTCTTTTCCTCTTTCTCTTTCTCTTTCTCTCTCTCTCACATAGATATGCTATACTTTTGGTCGATCGGATATTGAGTCAAGTTCTGTAGTTTCCAATGGGTCCCTGGGCCAAAGAAGAGCGACTGAAGGAAGCCGGTAGATTCCATCGTGAAGTCATGGTTATGAGTCTCGAGTCGTATGCTCTTGCGCTTTGTACGAGGGTCCTCGGCTGGGCCCCAGTGGAGGTAGCGGTTTTCCTGTCTTCTGTGCGGAAAGAATTGAGAGACCCTAGGGTGCATATCTATGGGAAATTTCATGTTGTGTGGGGAAGGCGGCCGAGTGAGTGAGGATGACTCAAGTTGAAGTGGCGTTTGTGGGTGATGATTAATGACATTTTCATAATTATATTAATGCTGTACGATTTTCCTTTCTTCCCTTTCTTTTTGGGGATTGCTACTGAAATCAAACAAGTGACTAACATTACCTGGATATATACACGAGGTGTCATCCGTAAGGTCTATAGGCCAACGATCCGATACCTCAACACCACTATTCGATAAAGACCCCGCAGAAAACATTGCATTATATTTTGGACAGGCACCAGCCATACTGGGACAAAAAAGACAAAGATCATGGGGTCAGTATCGAGCTATTCCACCCCAAAACCGTCTCACCGACGACACAAGAACCGGCACATTAACAACACAGCCCCCCCATCACCATGCATCTAAGACCCCCGTATAATAGACTTGTATATGAGACCACGTTACCTCCTTACCCAGGAAGTATCTAAGGAAACCATCTCGGCAAGTAGTCACCCAAGCCCCAATAGTTTTCGCGACCCAAGGGATGTCCGGCACACTTCCGTATCTCATGAACCTCCACGCCCCCAGGAAGATCATCAGGGTCGTAGTACATGACTCCGAGGCGTCCACAGAGCTCTTCGGTGGCGCCTGGGACTGGGACTAGAGCAGCCCGGACGATGGCAGAGGATCCGACGATCATGAGAAGGTTGAGAGAGAGCTTCATGCTGGGATTCTGTCTTCGTCTATCATGTGTATGGTTAGTGGTTTGTAGGCAGAGTAGACGAGGAAAGTATCTGACTTGCTTAGTTGAGAGAGAAGATGCATGAATACAGGTAAAAGAGGAAAGAGCTTGTACGAAGTGTGATGGGGCTTGCGTATATATGTAAAAAACTCCTTAGCATGGACGCAGGTGATGTACTGCGTCATAGGTACTGAATACTAGGTTATCGGTACGTAGCATCTACCTATTGGTCGATGGCCGTGTTCCTCTGTTGGCTCTAGTGGACAGGGATTCAGTGCCAGCAGCGATTGCTGGAGCTAACATCATTATGGTTTGAGGAGCTAGGCAGATCAGTTTCTGAATGATAGCGCAAGTACTCCGGGAAGGTGGATCTTGAACTGCATAAAAATGTAAGACAATCAAATAGAAACACACATAGATAATTAATAGGCCACAAGAAAAGATGTAATGCACTGCCCACCTCGTGTTGGTCTACACGATAGATAATCTGCAGGATGCTATGTGTCGTCCCAAATAGGCAAGGGATGAGGCTTTAGGTAGCCGGATACCCTGATTGATATCCATTTGTAATACCCACTCGGTCGCCTTAGAAGGCTGTAACAAGTTCGAAGATTCTGTCCCAAGTCCCAGTCTCTTTTTATACCTCATCAAGAGGAAATTATACGATCTATCAACTGGCAAAACTGGCTCTGCAGGAGTGTGTTTACATTACGCAGCGTATTGCAATGGAGGATAAAATCACGGTATTACGCTAAACGAATCATTTTACAATTCGAATAATCGAGTCATATGGTCTCCTGTCTAGGACACTTGTCTTTTACAAAGGTGTCCTCTTATCATAAGCTTTAGACTAATCTTGCGGGTAGGTTAGATTTAGTGCTTATTTTTACCTCATCCGGCCAGGTAGCGCGGTTTCAATCACAGTAACGGGAAGAAATGACACATATAGCTGTTTGGGTACTAACAAGTCATGACTGTTACTTAGCATCCGCTGTTTTAGGCGGGCCCTCACTTCCGGAGGCTGATAGAACATAACTGCCCGCACCGAGGTCATAGAGCGCAACACTCATATACAAAATGCCCAGCTCTTTTTTCATATATTTTGTATCTGATTGTTACGCTTGACAGCAGACCTCGGGTGTAGTGTGTAATGAGGATTATATACTGAACCAATCGGAGAAATCCTGCCACATGAGGATATTATCCAAAGCTGAAGGTTCTAATGTGAGCTGGCTTGTGCGGAATGGTGATAACTGCGTATTAGTATCGGTGGTTGGGAGGGGCGGAATAGAGTCATCGAAAGGGGTTGCCTCTACTAAGTCACTAGGGGAAAATGTCGACGATACTTCCGCTGATAACAATCCCCGCGCTTTGCGATTCATCTGAGCACAGGACTCTCTGGCCTTATCACGCAATGGACCCAGGACTGTCCAAACGCAGCTCGTCCTGCCCTTCATCTCGGACGCCTCTTCAAAATCGGTTAGGCAGGTAAAATAATTATCTACCGCGACCCATGCTCTATCTGCCTCGGCTCGGCCAGGTGAGGCGTGCAGTGTCCGTAGCACAAGGAACAATGCGTACAGCTGGGGTTGTTGTTGATAGTACCATGCCAAACTTTCGAATAGTTTGCCTGACTGGAGCAGGTATCCGTCCTCGAGGAGTTTAATGGCTGTCGTGAAGGCCGACTGGGGAAGATGATCGTATCTGCGATCTGTTCCTTTTGTAGTTTCAAGCCAGGTTTGAAGCGTTAATATGAAATGTGCCTTTAAGACAGATATGCGGAGCAGAGCATCTGCAGCGCGACATATTGGGTTCGCCATATCCGCGAACCGCAGCCATTCCCGCTCGACTTTACGTTCGGTTTCACGGATTCCTTCCACTTGGCTCCCAGCATCATTCTTCGTGGTTGTGGCAACCACGCGTCTTAAACGGCGGCAGAGATCCAAGTTCATGATGGAAAATGAAATTTCCGTCCACCTCTCCTTCCCGGTCGGCGGCTCTGCCATTTCTGGAAAAATGTTGTCGTCGTCGATATTGGTTGGCAATAGAAATGAGTGGTCACGGTCCACAGTCGTCGAATTGAACCCATGGCTTTCAGGCGCAGTGGCATCCAGAGCGGTTATATGCCACCAAAGCCGACGTCTCATCTCGGTCTCAAAAGGATCCAGACCCAGACGGATGCCATTTACATGGACACCGAGTGACTCTGCAATGCGCATAGCAAGACCGGTGAGTATCCAAGTGGTTCGTGTTGCATCGTGAGTTCTCAGCGCGGTCTATAATCATTAGACTATGGTAGCATAGCATTGGGGATTGAGACAAAATACCAAATAGATGACAAGAGCCGTCAGAGTCCGTGTATTTGGGCGTAACAGAAATTGTGACCTCATAAATGCGCTGTCCATTTGTTGCATTAGATGACGCAGGAGGGTTGTCTTTTCAAACCCGAGTCGCTCCATTGATTTAGCCCTTGGCACTGTTACTGTAGCCGCGAATGCAATAGCGTATACTAGGGTCATTGTTGTATCGTCTGCCTCGCGGGGGTTGGCAGAAGCATTCATTATAATTGGTTGAATCGTGGGTATATGCAAGAGCTTCACTAGGGGATCGAAGTTCAGTTTATAAAGAGACCATAATGTTTCGTATGTTTGTGAGTGTATGGAGATATTATCAACTTGATCCCCGAACACGTCGGTAGCGACTATGCCATATTGTGTAACTGAGCGATGAGTTGGTGAGCCTGACGATCTGGCTGGTGGCTTGTCCGTCGTGACAGTTTGTCGGGAGGCGCCCTGGACCCGTCAGAATCGGCACTATATACAAAGAGGAGTCGAACTTACGTCTAGCAGCAGTCCGACGAACACTGAATTGTCAACATAGCTACTCCTCACTCTCTCGTCCATCGGGGCTTCTTGAGAGGACTGAGCGGGGGGTACTAGAACGGGACCTGGTGCGTGTTGTTGCTCATGTTCTACGGGGCCATTGGAGGCTTTACTATGGTCGAAGGATGCCTTGAGATCGGAAATAAGCTCTTCGACTTTCGTAAGCCTGTCTAAGATATCCTGATTTGTCGCGAGGTGATTTGTTGTAGTAGGAAGCTTGTGCGCTTGAGGAGGCGGTGTCCTCGAAGCAGAGGGTCGTGGTGAAGTCCTGGATGGTGCCTTAATCGGCGCACGCCTTCTCCGTGTTTCGTAGACGCACGAGAGTTGTAGACGGGAGCAGTGTGAGCACGGCATCTTCCTGTTACAACGGACTTTGCGCTGGCGGCATGGTTCACAAGTAGGGCGGCCTTGAGGGCCTAAGCCAGTGCGATGGCTCATAGCATGTAATACTGCCTGATGCGACTCCAAAATTACGTAGACATGTAGTTCGTCAGTGACTTTTGGACGGACGCTATCTTGAAGATCGGAGAGTTTCGTTTAGTCAGCAGAGTCCAATGAGAAGCTAACCGGAAATGGCATGACGTATCTTGTCTGGTCCGCATGCGATTTGTCGAACCCTAATGTCAGTCTAAATAAGGTAGTGGGACGATAAGAGGCATTCCGCGTCAAAGTGCTAAGTATTGGGTAGTTCGTCGGTATAACGCAGCTTACCCGCCATGATTTTACAATTACATTTTTCCGTGCAGGATTTCGCAAAGAAAGACAGACCATATCATTATACTACAATACCTAGGAAGGGGAGATATGATAGAAACGGGTCGTATTCCTATTCTGCATGTAAAGAATACCTTTCCCTGAGCTTCTGACCAAATCGGTAAATAAATATCGTCATGACAGGCATTACCAGGCTAATGAAACCTAACAGTGAGTTCCCCCATCCCAGACCGAGATGATCATAAAGACTAGGCCCAGCCAATGGCAGGAACGCACCAAAAAGACACCGCACAGATGTTACGCAGGCGACGGAAGATGCCGCGAAGGGCCCAGACGCATCAATCAAGTAAGCCTGAGCGGTCGCATTGATTCCCACCTGGGCGAAGCCAAAGGGTACTAGACCGATCAAAGGAACAATCCAATGGGTCTGAGCTTGTGTAGACCAGCCGTACCAGAAAAAGCTCACCGGTATAAGCAACGCTGGTAGGAATGCCGTCACTATGCGCATCTCGGGCTGAAAGATATCATTGTTCGCCTTGGTAAGACGCAGAGTGAGGAGATCGGAAGTTTTCGCAAACACAATCAAACCGATCAGGCTGCCAAGGCCGAGGCCCATATACGCAAGGCCGGCGGTCTCTAGAGACCACCCGTAAAACTCTTGAAAGAATGTAGAGGTAGTGGTAAGGAGGGTATAGAGTAGACCTGAGATGAGGCCTACCATGATACAGAGTATTACCAAGAGAGGGGAACGGAAGAGCATTTTCCAAGGGCGCGAAATTGCACGAGCCAGCAGGAGCCAAGGATTGTTGAGACTGGCAGAAGTCTTTTCGGAGTCGTAAGCGCTCTGAAGATCTTGTCTGCCGGTTTCCTTTCGCAGTTTTGATGTCTTGTGCCGGATTATCACCAATGAATTAGTTTCCGGTACGAACGCTGCCATGGCAATGGAGACAACTGAGCAAGCGATGAGAAGGACCCAGAATATCCATCTCCAACCAGCTCCTTGTGTGATTAGTCCTCCAAAAAGGGGCCCTAATACAGGTCCAAACAATGACCCCGTCGTGACTAATGCATTAGGCACACCACGCTTATGAATATCGAAAAGGTCCGGAACTATTCCACCCCCAACGGAGAGGCTTACTGATCCTACAAGGCCAGATATTATGCGGAATGCAAGGAATGTTCCAGCGTTTGGCGCTAAAGCGCAGCCGATATGGGACAGGGTGAAGACAGCATTGGCGCAGTTAAGTATTAGACGGCGGCCGTATAGCTCGCTGAGAGGAGATAGGATAAGGGGGCCAAACTGATGTCGAACTAGTCAGCACATTAAATATAATCTTAGGGTTCCTGGGACCACAATCATACCATGTAGGCGAGTACATATATAGTGGTTATCAGCGAGGAAAGAATCGGTGATTCAACGTGGAACTCCGATGTAATGCGAGATGCTGCCGGCGAGACAATAGTAGATGTAAGGAAGCTTTGGCAAACCCCTCTTAGTCTTCGCGTTATTGGAGTCCTGCGGTAGAATATAACGAACCTGAGTACTATCATGCCACTGAGTAAGACCATCGTGGTCCACTTCTTTGCGGGCGAGAAGTTCCTGCTATGGTTAGTTGGATTCTCGTAATAAGATATTATCAAGCCATATCGCTATACTGCGCTGGCCGATCATGACGGACCCTCACCTGGGATTGTTTGTGTCATTTTGGCCATTCCATGCTATGATACCTTTGCTTAGATCCGACTGTAGGTGAAGTGCGCCGAGTGCATTGTTCGATACCATGTTTTTCTCGACCATGATAACACACTCGGTAGACTGGCACGCCAGGTAGATTGATTGTCGAGGATTCTGCGATCCCATGCGTAGTGTGAGTTTTGGAGCTGATTTAAAGAATATCAATATACCGATCGGCCGATCGGCCGATCGGGCCAACCTCAACGTAGCCATATTTTCTGTTCACTGAGATTTTCTAGGGGCAACTAAATTTATCTAGCGAATTTCCTTCAATAAATGTGAAGGGTTCCGTAGGACTCAATGAGCTACTTGATGGTCAGACTGGGCTTCAAGCACGGAGGATAATGATGGTGATGCCACCTACAGAGTAGAACCAGGAGGCAGTGATCTGCCTCGCATACCCACCTGAGCCAGAGTAACTGGAAAGAGCTCTGTAATACCAAATGAAACTAGCTATACACAGTTCATCTTTTGCGCTGGTTGAAATATCGATGTTACATGTATATATGGAATTGTCAGTCCTAATCCGAATTCGATCGTAGGAGTTTGATACATATATTGACAGGGCAAATGCATAGATATAATATTGGATGCAAGACGGGAGACGACTCCCTTACAGCTATAGTGTTTATCATATACACATACATATGTGGTTCGTAAGTTGTGGGCCTATGTACAAGACAATCATAGCTGAGTAGGGCTCTGGGTAACATGAGCCATCGAGATCAGATACATTTCAGCCAAACGTATGGGCGTGATATTACAACACAGTTTGTCGCATTACGATTCAGCATCAAACCATAGCAATCGCCGCCATGGCTGCAGCGCCACCAACAGCCCACTTAGAACTGCCTGTCACCTTCGCCATAGCCGCATTGGTGCTCTGGCTAGCCTCTGCTGATGATGATGCCGTGCTAGCAGCGGCTTTCTGTGGCACACTTCCCGATTCAACCACGGCAGCGGCGGCGGACGTGCTCCCAGTAGTAGTGGGAGTAGCATGAGCAGCAGTGGGAGAAGTCTGTGCGGAAGCGGATCCAGAAGCTATTTCAGTGCCGGTGATAGTCACGGTCTGGTAGAAATCACTAGTTGGGCCGACCGTACCACCGGATTCTACTTCAGTAGAAGTACCGTAATCCATAGTGATGGCGCAGTCGAGGGACGTGGAGGCGTGGAGAGAGCATGCCTCTATCATGGTGCTGCTATAGTTGAGCATCCTTGCGACTGGGGCCTTGTTCGGAGGGAGGGTATGCAAACTTACTAATGGGGGTAATCAAAGGCAACACGCATGGTAGATGGGCCAGCGGTGACAGTCCAGCCCTGTGATGAGATGTCGCAGTCCCCAATCTGGTAGAAATTTGCATTCTGGGGCTTCGGATTGCAGTTGATTACGTATGTGGTTAGGGGACCGTCCTGTGCGTTTTAGTTTAAGCTTCTTCTGGTAGTATGTAGTATACGGCTGGGATCATGTACAGTTCCGATAACCTTTCCAACTAGATCGTCGTGGTCCATTTCGGTGAAGAGGATAGTGGCAGTCTCGTCGGCAGCGGCCATCGAAGTAAAAGCCATGATGGCAAATGAGAGTAAGGTTTGAGCATGCATTATGTGATGTATGTTTAAGTATGGTCAAAAGAAATGAATGAAGGCCTATAGTTTTGAAGGATTTGAAAGGAGCGATATGGACAAGAAGAGGAAAGATTTTCACTCGGGCAAACTGGGTCTTATCCACTTTATATGATCGAGTTAAGCCCTAATTCAAAAGACCCTGGTTCTTTAGTGGTCTCGTGGTGCTTTGTTTGTAATATTATATGCTTCATCTGTGGTCCAATGTATTCGCTTCTAAACCTCTTAAAGCAGTGGGGGCCAAATGATTACTACTTTTATATTAGTAGATCAATAGCGCCAGGAACCGTTCTTTTAATCCTTGTCCTTATCCAACTCGCTCCGAAGGGTGGGGCTTCGTTATATTAACTGCCGCCGCTTTTAGAGGCTTGTTGAGCGGAGCAAAGCCCAGCCCAATTCCAGACTCGTCAATTACTCAATCGCTCATTTCCTGCACTTATTATTGATGGCACTAACGAAGACCCAACTATGAAGGGCTCCATCTTCATATTTCTTGACGAAGGACCAGATCAGCCACGGGAAGATGGGAACCGATGGCGCAAGAGACAGTTCCCATTGGTGACATATTTAAATGTGCATATATATAGTAGATTTGGTGATATTTGGATGAAGCACCCAAACAGAACTTGAACATAATCATCTTGTCATTTGGCTTCAGCCGATGTAAGCCCCGCTACATAACATCTACTAACATATCGCATCAACTGCCGGGTTTCCAAGCATTCGATCTTGCCATGTCCCGCGTGCTCTCTAACTATTCACCAGTACTACTGTTACTCAGCCAGTCCAGTGTGCGGTAGAAGTCATAATGACGAGCATCTATTCATCTATAATTTCATAATTGAGGTAGACAGGAGAAATGGGGCCTGTTCATTCGCTTTTTATAACTTGGACTTGCTCTCCTCACGACCCTGGAGGTTAGGGTGGGGAGTTCGCACGGGCCGAGTAACGGCATAGAAGGCAAATCCTTGGGACTTGGTGGAGAACTGGAAGGTGGTAAAAGTATGTTAGCCAATGGCTCGGTGCGTGAGAGATACGGGAAATATGGGCGAAGTTGAACGCCAGAGAGGGTCGCGACTAACCTTGACCTTGGATCCAACGTGGAAGAAAGCAAAGTCTCCAGGAACTAGGTGGTGGGTGATTCCAGTAGCCTCATCCTATCAAGCAAAAGCATCATCGTTAATATTATCCCTGATGGTGAGAGCATATGCACAATTGGTTATGCAGCTTTCAATATGGACGAGAGGAACTTACCAAAACATCAATCTGACCACTCAGGACATACTTCGTCTCCTCGAAAGTGTAGTGAGCGGGTCGTTGAGGGCCGGCCTCGATCTTGTAAAATCCCGAGGTAAAGTACGCGGGGGATTCAGTCTGGGTGCGGATAGAGTGGAAGTCGGCCGTAGTGGCGTTCTCGCCCTGGGGAAGGGGGATGAACTCGTGGCCAGCGCCTTTGATAACGGTAAGAGGGACGAGGTTGCTAGACACTATAACTCTCGTATCAGCAATTGTTTGTCCGCAGTGATGGGTCTAAAGGCATAAGGAGGGACTCACTTTTGGTTTATTTTCTTGATTGATGGATAGAGAAAATACTGGAAAAGACTCAGGAATGCGGTATACCTTAAATAATATAAGTATACGGTTCGGAGGCATTCCCGGGATATGGTGAAAGCTGCAACAAGATCCCGCGTGCTTTATCCCGATGAGGGGAAAAAACCCCGGATGCATCCCCCGGGTGTGGGGAAACCATCGGATGGATACCCGATCCTCCACTCGAGAGGGAAGCTTCCCTCACTACTATATTAAGCACCCCCGCGTCCCTCATTCACTGCAGCATAAACTCGGATTATCCCATTGAGAGACAAACACCCCTGGCTAGTGGTAACTTTGGCTGTGGATTATTTCGCGGAAAAGCACGGCAACCAACCCATGGAGGAAAAGGTGTACTGTACCTTGCGCGTTCGTTCGCGCCGCTTGTTGAATAGGCCATGGAATACCCTACCAAAACAGGTAGTTTGGTGCCTGAGATCTCGACATAAACGCTAACTAAGGGGACCTGGCTCGTATGGCTTTCCCTGGGGTGTTATGTGGATCCCTCAGATCGGTTGAAAGTCGCTCAAATGGTGCTAAACTATGGAGCAGATATGATTTGCACCGAACAGTGGCAAAGAGATGTCTCTTTCATGTACTTTGCGAGCGGAAAATCTTCTTCAGCGAAGTTTACTTTCATTGAATTGGGATGCGCATTAGAAAGGACAAAGATCGGCATTCTATGAACTGGTTTTTTATGGCAAAATCGAGCGACTAGCGCCACTCAAGTCGAGTATATTATCTACTACGCTACTACTTCTAATCTCTTCAGTATAGGGCTGATACTGAAACACCACTACCACTCAGTAGTATAAACTGAGAGGTATGCTCAGCTATACGAAGTGAGCAACAAGCGGCGAGGGGAAGCCAAGAAGTGACAGATTTAAATGGAGTAGACTAGGTTAAGTGGGGCTGTTCAGCTTGAACTAAACTAGGCAACCACACCCAGTATTTTCCCCTTGAGGTTATCGGTTGTAGTTTCAATGAATGCGCTGTTTTCCGAGCTGGCTTCTTCCTATGCTCCTGTCTATGGCAATACTTGTGCTATAGGTTCCCCCACCATGTGATACTGGCATACGCATCCTCGAATCACACCAAATCCTAAACAGGGGGTTGTATCATTTAGCTCATATTGCGGGAATATATAACTCTACTATTCCGACATGGAAGCAGCAACAGGGCACTTGACTAGCATCTGATCCGTACTCGCTGAGATAAGATAACCTGGAACAAACCAGCCAAAATAAGAACTTCACACAATATACAAGTCCAACTCAAGGCTGACGACGACACCAGAAGAAAAGAACAACAACATAGGATATCTGTCATCATCATGGTGGCAAAGGAATCGTTAGTCAAAGTAGTCATCATTCCCAGCCTTAACTCTGCAACCAGTAAAATTCATCGCGTGGGAAATGGGCGAATATCTCATCCAGGCAAACTTGTTCAAGATCCTCTGGACTTGGTGGAAATGAATACATAGCATTGCCGGCGGGGTTGGGAGGAGGTGGCTGTTCATCTAAAAGTGGGTGGACGAAATGAGTGGTAACCCGCATCCTGGCGTCTGGTACATTCGAAGCCTGGGAAGTACCACCTTGCGAGGTAGGGTCGCCTTGTGGTACCTGACAGACTTTGGGATCGAGGAGCTCCCAGAACATCTGAGGTTGAAAGGATATCATTGTACTGCCGCCCGGTATGTCCTGGAGCTTTTCCTTTGCGACATATTGCAGGTGTTGGAGGATTTCGAGCTATGCGATGTCCTTAGCCATGGCTCTGGGAAGAAATCGACCAGAGGTTTCGCATTCAGGAGATGGTCGCTGATTCTACCAGCAGGAAAACATACCTTTCGAGAAATATGGGGCCAGGTGGATGAAATACGACTCAAGAATCTCTCACACTTGCCAAGGTCATCATACGCTTTCTTTGAAACCTTGGGATCTCTTGCAAACTGGAAAAGCCATGGTATAGTAGCTGTGGCTGCGACTGCGTGCCCAATCAATGGATCGTTGATCTCATATTGAAGGTTCTCACAAAACTGTATAAACTGAAACACCCAGCCAGAATGAAACAATGCTAGATCCACGGTCTGTTGGAGAAACAGACGTGATTGAGGTACACCCCGACCACCACGCATAGCAACCAAGTGAAGAAAGGGATGGTTTAAGATAGCCGGTGATGCATGAGAGAGCATTTGCATAGCCAGCCAAGGACTCCAGTATTCTTGTTGCTGCATAATTTCAGCTATTGATCGCTTGGAGAAGCAGACATTCCTAAGAAGGTGTCTTTGCGGCAATTCGGCCTCGCACTTGTACAACCTCACACTGAGCTTTGCGTGTGTTGACTCGGGTAACCAAGGCGTTTCAACGTTACCAGATCGTATTCCATGCAAATATCGCGTCAGGTCGCCCCATACGGAAACCATCTCTATGTGGTACGCATTGATGCCGAGGTCCTTGTTGACTTCTTCTGAGACATGTAGGTCAGGAGGACAGTTTTCATCCCTGTAGGTTGGCAATGAGGATGGTAAGGGAGCACTCAGAGGATAATCAGGTGTGTCTTGAGATGACGAAAGATCCAACACCTGGGGTGAAAAGGCCTTTTCGAGTATGAACACGGACCAATGACATCGAGCGCTCCTATCCTCAGTCTGCGGATCAGAAGTATAATGGCGTGTTAATCTGCGCAAAGTATCTAGCCGAGAGGCAGTTCCAATTGTCATCCAAGCACGTGCAGGCTTTTGACCTGTGTTAATTTAATATAATTAGCACAATCAATTCAGGAGTGAAATAAAGACCCAAAGCTATACCAATTAAGTCCTTCACAGCCAGTAGGCATAGTGACTCTATAACCTCTATCTTTGGGATGCCTTCCACAGCCAATTTCATAGCTGCATCTTCCGCGGAGCGAGTATAGAGCTGGACAGCCTGCTGTTCCCTGCCTCTGTAAAATTCATGGCTGCCAAAATTCAAAGAAAGAGCTAGGAAGCTATGAAGAAGAAATCGGGGAGAGTTTGCCAAGCGATCTCGTAGGCCTTCAAGGTTGAATAATGGCAATGGTTGGAAATGTATCCTTGTGCGGTATACTTCCATGAAATGGCCCAAAACTTCCACCGGGGGTTCGAGACTATGGGAACTCAGCCAAATGGCCTCATATCTGATGTATGGTAGCCAATATTCGAGGTAGACATATGAGACGTACTATGATTGTGCAAAGCATGGCCTATTATTAGAGCTTCCTACACGTGGGAGCATGTTTGGGACCTCAGTGGAGGGGTCTTCCCGTGGCTCTCCGCTCCGGGCTGTCGAAGCTTCAGGTGTCGCAGCATCGTTGCGATTTGAGAGAGAACTTCAATGTTAGTGTACCTCTACAATCATTGTTCCGTAGCCGTACGACATACTTCAAAATATGGTAAATATCATTGACTTGGGACTCAAGGGTTCGAAATCGGTCTTTCGAAGACTTTCTGTATTCTCCTCATGTGAGACACCGACTTTAGAAACCCTTGAAGTCTGGGGGTCTCTCACGACTTTGTCACCCTGCTCGCCTGTCCGTCCGATTTGGCCTGTTCTCTTGGAAGATAGACACATTGCACATTTAACCGCTCACAGAACGAGCACACTGGTCTCTCGGCCGTGCATTTGGACTTTTTGCGTCTGGTTCGGAACAGTTAGGATAGACGCTGGTCAAGAAAATGCAGACCGTACCTGCAGGGCTCACAGGCCTGTCGACTGCGCTGCTCCCCCGACATTGACATGCCTTCGAAGATGATCCTGGCGTTGTTAAGCCCTATTACGTGATAGGAGGAGAGAGGAGACTCCACGGTCTCCTAAAAAAGTTCCGGGATAAGAGCCGAGTAGGAAATTTGTGGGGACACCTTCAATGTTGAACCAACAGGCGTAAGGCTTATCCGGATCACGTGAGCGGGATTTACAAAAGTGTTCCGGGTTTCCGGGAAACCCAGCACCAAAACCCTATATCACTCCTATCTTATCGCCTCTCTCGTATTCCGGTCGATACGCGGGGGAAGTTCAGGTTCTCTTAGCTCCACACATTGCTACCAGTATCTATCAGAGATAGAACTGAAGGGGGAGAAATCCTTGCCACCCCACTCCCATATCTCTACATTTCACACGTCCGAAGAATCTTTTGTGTGGGTAATTTACTTATCCGAATCATCTCTGCCGTGTTTTCTAACTTAGCTTCAACGTCAAACACCACACACTCAACATGGACTCCGACGCTGCTGCTCCTACCAAGGCGATGTTTACGCCAGACTCTATTCCGCAAGTGCCTAAGGATCCTCTGTATAGCCTATTGGCCGCTTACGAGGCAGACAAGTCACCAAACAAGGTCGACCTTGGCGTTGGCGCGTATAGAGACAACAATGCTAGGCCATGGATTATTCCAGTAATCCAGAAGGTACCAACTCACAGGGAACTTGTGCGAGGCATTTGACTGAGCTTTCATATGCCAAGAAAATATACCGCAGTGATCTAAATCTGAAGCATTAATACTTAGCAATCGCCGGACTTTCTGAATTCACCTCATCAATGCAATGAATACCTGATCGCTAACCGCCCAAAAAGCAGGGAGGGAGGTGTTCGCAAATCCCTAACTCTCATTAGTAAAAGACTTCACAACTCAACGATTAGCTAACTCACTACTAATCCATTCTTGAAGGCGGGTAGGTCTATCCAAGTATTACCATGGTGGACATAGCCCTGAGGACCAGCACCTAACGCTATTGCCAGTGACACGAAAATAATGACCAGGAACGTGACGATCTTGATCAAAGATGTCACATATTCAAACCAGCCGAACCATTCATTCGGCAAGACGAACATCGGCATGCAAACAACAAGGAAAATCGTCACTTTTCTGGTTGTTAGTAGGTGTTACATTTGGTCAGTGTCGCTTACAAGATGCTCCAAGGGGAAATGAGTCTTTTGCCCAATATTGGATTGAAACATCAAAAAGCGTCGCTTCCGAACCGATAACGGCAGTCCATCCTACAAGGAAAGTGTTAGTGACAGAGCAATTACTCATTTCTATTACCATACCAAGCCATTCAGCGAATTCAGCCCCAAATGCAATGCAAGTGCAGGATCCACCAAACGATCTGCATAATCCATGAAGTTACCCGAAACAGGAAACGCAATGGTCATCTCTGCCAATGACTGAAGTATGGCCCAGACGGCGGAACATAAAAGCCCGCAACAGATGATCATTTTACCAGGGCCACCGTTGGCTAGGGCTTTGCCGGTCGCGATGAACAGACAACTTCCGATACTAGAGCCAAGGGAGATGACTTGTAATGATCCGTGAGCTTGGACTTGTGGAGCTGAACTTGTGCACTGCTTACATGGATCTGTCGCGGCGATAGGGATCTCTTGAACTCTCCCATTCCTATTCTCCTCCACGTCGCCGACCATGATTTCGTATATACTGCGCACAGGCTCAATGGCCTGGGTCTTCTTTTCCGAGAGAGACATTTTGCCGAGGGTGTCAAAGCCGTGTGAAGCAGGGAGTATCATACGACATATAGAACTGAACTAAATCAAAGCAGTGGGGTAAATGCCCACTCTGAACGGATTCATAATTGCATATATACTAAATTGAAGATTTAAAATTAACTTCCACGGCCCCTCTCTCAAAAGATACGCGGAGAGAGGGAATCAACTTGGAAATTCCGGCCACATGACCGGGGAAACCCTCTTATTCCGGGCAGTTTATCATGTGGGGTTATCTATGACGATTGCTCCATCTTCTGAAATTTTTTCCCCATCTCGTTCGTTCTCTCTATTTACTTTCATATATTTGTGAAAAGGTGCATCCTCAAAGGGTTCAATTGCCAGGATGGATAAGGACAGCAGAATTGTTATCGTTGGGGCAGGCATTTTCGGCCTGTCCACGGCTGCCAAGCTGGCGTCGGAGGGTTACAAACATGTTACAGTTGTTGACCGCCACATGCCGCCTGTAAAGTTTTCTTTCCTTTTGATGGCGAGAACAAGATTAACAGGTTCAGGTTCCGGATGGCTCTAGCTCAGATATTTCTCGTGTGATACGTTTCGATTACGCCGATGCAGACTATCTCAACATCGCATACGAAGCCTACCTTAAATGGTCCCAATTGCCAAAATATAAAGGCATCTTTTTCAAGGCACCATTTATTCTCACTGGCAACACCAGCGCACATGGCCGGGCCTGGATCCAAAAGACGACCGCTGCACTGACCAAGAAACAGCTGCCCTGGGGGAAGCTAGACAGTGCTGCGGCTGCGAAGAGTAGATACCCTATTCTAAGTGGGACTCTTGCTACTCCCAATTTCACCGGCTACTATAATGAACAGGCAGGATGGGCAGACGCCAGTAAGGCTGTCAGCCAGCTTCGCGACGATTGTCTTGAACTAGGCGTGTCATTCATCTGTGGTCGCGCGGGCACAGTTATCAGTCTCGACACGGACTCCCAAAAGAAGATCAAGGCTGTCAAGACTCTTGCAGGAACCTCAATTGACGGTGATCACTTTATCCTTGCTGCCGGCGCCTGGACCTCGGGATTGGTGGATATGTACAACTCGACCTTGGCAACAGCCCAGGTAATCGGCTACACACCACTCACAGATGCTGAAGTGAAGAAGTACCGAGATGTTCCAATTTACGCCAATTTTAACACGGGTTGGTTCAACTTCCCTTCACATGACGATAGCAAGACCCTCAAAATGGCCGTTCATGGATGGGGCTACACACGTGCACCCACCGCCGAAGATCATCAGAATATAAAGAGTAACATCTCGTCACCTCCTCTGATCCCCCCTCGTCAACGCGCCAACTTCACTCCACCGGATGGAGAAGACCGACTCAGAACTGGTCTGCGTGAGATTTTACCTGAATTAGCCGATCGTCCGTTCGAGCGGGTAGCGCTCTGTTGGTACACAGACACACCTTCGGGTGATTTCATTATGGACTCTCACCCCGATTACAAGAACCTCTTCATCGCTGGCGGTGGTAGTGGGCAGTAAGTTGCAGTCCTGTTCCGAATGCCAACATATACTAACACGGTTCACTAGCGCATTTAAATTCCTCCCTGTGTTAGGCAACTACACGTTCCTTGCGTTCACAAAGCGTCTTCCAGAACATTTGGCGCAGAAGTGGCGGTTCCGGACAGAGTACAAAGATGATAAAGATACTTTCTTGGGAGACGGAAGTCGTGGGGGGCCCGCCAGACGGGAATTGCAAGCCCAGGAAAGAGCAAAGCTGTAGGGGCGATACGATGCATAGATAGCTCTTTCGTTTGTTATGGCTGCTGCTGGTTGCCAGTTCAGGTACCATTTCGTGCTTTTGTATACTGATTTCACGATGATCTATTTAGCCTTTTACGTATTAGAACAACATATGTATATGCCATTCAACTCTGAAATAACTAGAATAGTTGCCAATCCATAGGTGTCAGAAATAAGTAGTACGCGTTGCGTACAGTGTCGTGCCTCTCAGCAACTGCCGCAGTGGTCAATTGACCTCTTTAGAAACCCCGCAAGGTGCCTCACTTTCCTTGTCACTCGTCCTTGGAGTGGGGCAAAGCTAAGATAACGTACTGTCCTCTATATCGCATTCTGACATTGTATTCCCCTCAAACCTTGTGTCGGCCGGGTTCAGGTTACGATCCTATCTTTGCGAGATACAGTGCGGAGGTGGATCGAGGCCAGGAAGGCAACGGAATTCACGGAGTATTCCCAAAACTCCGTCTCCACTTGTATCCGGCCCTATCTCTGTTATCTTAGGGCTTTGGAATCGGAGATAGAAGCACAAGCAGGAAATGAGGAATGTATAAGACTCTTTACCTGTATTATCCTAAGGCTGATGAGTTGATCACAGTTCCCGTTACTTATATTTCATCAGATAGTGCAATCAGACACCAGGTTTTCATCTTTAGTCGCCCCTCGGAAACCCTACCAACAGTTCTCCGTTGAATACACCACATCTCATCACTATTGAACATACCCTCCGTCCCAGCATATGGCGTCTACCCGCCACTCATTACCTTTTTCCATGAAGACGAGTCTATTGATTATGAAAACACTTTAAAATTAGTTCACCAACTGGTGTCAGCTGGGGTCACTGGTCTGGTACTGCAAGGCAGTAATGCAGAAGCCCCTCACCTACTACACGAAGAGAAACAAGAACTTGTTTCACGAATTCGACAGTATGTCACTGACATCGGCCACCCACAACTACCCCTGATCGTAGGTTGCGGGGCCCCCAGCGCGCGCGAGACCTCGGTACACATTTCTGAAGCAAAGGCTGCCGGAGCTGACTATGCCACGTTGCAGTCCCCGGCATACTGGAGATCAGCTATGAGCCCTTCAGTGCTGGAGACTTTCTTTAGCACAGTAAGTGGCTAAAAGGTATATCTCTAAGTGAAGTCGTTTTCGACTTAGTGGATAAACAATTTCTATCGTGTTCTCAAGTACTGTTAATGGCCGTAACATTTAAGTCCAAATATATACCATCAAGCATTTTGTGACAGAGCCCAAAGAACACTTTCGTACAAAGAATTCACTTTAGCTACTGACTAGAGCTCCGGCTAACTATATTTTCACCGGCGGACCCTATATCAATCGTTGAAGCAGGACGCGCATTTTTATATAGCATTGAGCTTCTTGAAGCTCAACTGAGCATATCTTTGCTCTAATTCAAGAAGTTTATAAATTAAGCCTTACGTGGCGATCAGGATGTCCTGGGCTGAGTTCCTAACCAATTAGTGACGCACAACATCCTGCGCCACTTCGGGAAGCTTTATGCATGATGACTTGTCACCTAAGCAGACCTCCCTGTTACTCTGTCGACTTCTCCTTTCCTCTAACATCACGTTAACCTTCGCCTACGCTAGCAATAGTTTATTCTAAAATACATCAATTCCCGAATGTTTACCTCGACATTCCCGACCATGTCCCTTGACTTGGTCGGCATCATTCTCCTGGCCGATCTCTCGCTCATCGCACAGCGAACCGCCCTCACAGGCGGCTCCACATTCCTGGATACATTTGTCCTCTGCCCCGGACTGCATCGCCAGCAGGATACTGCTAATGTTCACAGCGGAGAGTACCCGGCTGTAGCTGCAATGACAACAGGCTATGTCTTTCGCGTCGAGAATCCAGCAACAGTTAATTTCTTTCAAAGGGTTGGGCGCACGGGCCAACTGACTACACTTTCCGTTGCCAATATCCGCAATTCTACGCAAGGGTGGCTTTCTCGTTTTATGTCCTCTATCGACAGTTCCATGTCACTCGGAGCTGTCGCGGCATATCTCCTCGCAGTTGGCGGCACAATCACCGTCTCATACCTTCTCGTCCTCACACAGGACTGGTGGGGCCTTCGAGTGCTCGCCGTTCTAATGTTTACCCGATTCATCAATGTGCTTTTGATTCAGTCTCGCAGTCGTGCCGGTTGGAGCGGAGCCTCTGAACCGGGCGTAGTTGGAGACCTCCTCGTTCTGCTAAGCCAGGACCGCTGGATCCGGATTACGGGATATGTGGATGATCTCAAATCGGTGACATCTGGAGAATGGCTCCGTGATATGACTCGGGTCGAAAGTGCCGTGTCCGGGTTTACAACCTTACTAGTCTACTTGAATGTTGCCTTAGCAAGCAACGTGAAATTATCTGGGCAAGTCCTGTTGCTGTTGCTCTTGGTAGGAACGAGCGGTCTGCTAGGACTGGTGAATATGTTAACGCAAGGGCTCCAAATGCATGGCAACTTGATCACTGTGGATGGTCCACGAAGGAAATACCGAAGGAGACTGGATCTTGCAGAAGCATTGATCAAGGAGACAGGAAGGGACGATTGGGCAGTGCGCTTGGGAATGATCAGTCCTTCTCAAGCGTCAACTGTAAAGGGTGGTTCGGCGGGGAATGCTGCGTTCAATGAAACGCTTACCATGTGATCTTAAGTTGGGCTGCGGCTGCATGTGCTCATCACTCATTGCTCATTCTAGGGCCTGTTACTTGGAATGAAAGTCTACCCACCTCCCCCTTTTCTTTCTCGTAAATGAGCCACCCGAGGCTGCGGGCTTTCATACGAGCTTGCGACCATCTATTAACGTACAGTCAGCCAGCCAGCAAAATGCCTTTCCTGTTCTAACTTCAGATCGAGATCATTAATGGTATAACTGATTTTAATTGGCTGGGTCTTCCTTGGCCTTTGTCACCGAAATGAGCGATATCATAAAATCCTTCCCGATAGAGGTTTTATCAGCAAAACACTGATCTAACATCTCAACACACTTTGCATCTCATCTCCCTGCATTACCCTTTTGGGATCCGCTACTCTCACTGGTCGGTAAAACCTTCAGCTTCGCCGCCCTGGGCTTTTACCTTCTTTTGAGCTCGATTACGTCTCTCTGCGGCAGCATAGCAGGTCATTCAATCAGTGGAGGTAGCTATTCGTGTTGCTCAGACTTCATACGGCTTGTATGGTATACCTGCAACTAGCCAGGTCATCACCTGCATGAACACCACTCGTGTACGAGGGGACACTGCAGATCGCATACCTTGGAGGGACGCGAGATATCGCCTCTTTTCCAATGTCAGCGAAGTAAAGAAGAGGTACAACAGGAACGGATCGTTGATAAGCTCGAACAGCTTCTCCAACAGTCCCAGACGAACCTGGTTCTTTTGAAGGAGCCGACAGGATCGACTTTACTGCTTGAGTCCATGGGGTTACAAATGAATGAGAAAATGGGAACAGATGAAGAGCGGACCCAGGTTTCCACAATGACCATTAATTCCATTTTACTGGCTGAGGCTGTGAGTAATATTTGTCGAAAGATGGACCTTGACACAACCCTAGCCAGCCTCGCGGGTGCAAATACTGCCGGTGCTTTGAGCAGACTCATCCTAGAGCGTCTGTACGAGCAAATCACCGGGGATAAAAGGGGGTGAGGCAATTTCTTGTTTAAGCATACTATTTCGATGAAAAATATAATTCAACCTAACAAAAAGAAATATGCGTGTCTATTTTCGCCACTCTGTAGCCCGTTGATACCCAAAACCCCTGTGAAAGCAATGCAAAAAAGATGTAGAACTTTTCCGTCATGATATCGTCGTTAACAAAATAGAGACTCAAGCATTCAACAAATAATCTATGTCTATATCATCCACAATGAATCTTTAAATCGCAACGGGTGTATCATTCCTGTCGTCCGGGCCAATACCTCGTCTACGGACGGAGATCATTGCAATCACGAGTCCGAGGCCTGCTAGTCCGGCAGAGCACCATAGGCCGGTGGAATATTGCTGGGCAAGACTGTGGCCCTTTTTGATATCGACTGCTTCTGTGACTGCGGCTGAGATGGCGAGTGCTACGCCGGAGCCGATTTGAAAAGCTGTGTTTAGCTAGTCCATTGGTTAGTATAATTGTCAGAGAGGGCAATATATGTAGAGGGCTTACCATGCCACCACATAAACTCTTGACATTAACCGGGACAGTGGTCAGGATCGTTGTGCTTGTTGTCACGAAAATGAGTGATACGGCTGTGATACTAATAAGGGATGTCGGGAGGACATTGACCCAGCTATCGCTGTTAGTGGCTTTCTTGCATTATGAGAAGGAAGCTTCATGATACGTACAAGTCCGGCTCTGAGTTTCTCGCAGTCAACGCGCTTGGAACGGGCGCTAACACTGTCAGGACCAGCCCTGCAATGAGAGTATATTTCCCGTTCACATATTCGAGGGCCTTCCCTGTCCCCATAGAGGCAATGAACCCGATCACTCCCATAGGCAGGAACCGGAGGGCTGTGTCGCCGGCCGACAAGTTGTCCACCTGTTGCGCCATCAAGACAATGTAGTAGATCACATTTTGGTAGCTGCCGTAGCAGGCTTGATCATTGTTAGCAGTGACCGAGGTCGATGGGCTTGGAGGAAACTTACTAAAACCTGCTATCCAAAGCCCTGCGAAATTTGGGATTCTCCATAGATCTAATGGCATAATCGGGTAGGAGATGTACCATTCGAGGAAAGTAAAAGCGACTAAAAGGACGACAGCGATGATGAGCAGAACGATGATAAACGGGGTGCCCCAGCCGTAATCACCGCCACTTGAGAGCACAAACTGAAGTAGAATCAGGCCAGCTGTAGACAATAGGGCCCCAAAGTAATCCATCTTGGGCTTTTCCTTCCCGGCCAATTGGTCTTTTGGAAGTACGATGGCGCCTAGGACGCCGAGCGAGCCTGTGATGGTCACTATTAAATAGAAGATATATCGCCAGCCTAGTGATGAGGTTAGGAAGCCACCGAAGATGAGGCCGACGCAGAATCCCAGCGTTCCTGATGCTGCATAGATAGACAATCCCCGAGTGCGGTCAACCCCAGTGAAGTAGGAACTGATAATTCCGATCGCTGATGGAACAGTCAATGCAGCACCAATACCCTGGATACCACGGAAGACAGCAAGCTGGATGAATGACTGACCAAATCCGATAGCGATGGTCCAGACAGACAGCCAGAAGAGGCCGAGGCAGAGAATCAATTTTTTCCCATATCTGTCGGGCATTAGAACCAACTTCCTGACACTATTATAACCGAGCCTTACCGATCAGACAAGACGCCTGCGAGTAGCAAGAACCCGCCGAATGTCAACGTGTATGCAGAGATCATCCATTGTAACTCGGTACTGGAGACTCCGAATTCTTCTTGAATAGAGGATAACGCGATGTTGGAACTAGTCATGAAAACATTATCGAGAAATTGGGAGCCGGAAGTCACCAGCAAGATCAAAGCTCCTCTCCAAGAGCCAAGTCGACCAATTTCCGGGCAGGGCTGTAAGGTGGTGAGACCCTTTTCTTCGGTCGGGGTTGCCAGTCCGGATGAAGGGGTGCTGTGCCCTAACGATGACCCCGGGCGGGAGATCACAGTGAACTGGGGCAGTTTGCCAAACCAGCCCTCGCCCTCACCATCCTGGCTACGGCTTCGAAAGCCGAAGTCAAATTTAGTCATAATATGTCTGGAGAGAAAAAGAAATCTTTGGTTTTACTGAATCAAAAACAAGAGGGCGAGCAGAGAGGCCTTTTAAAATTCTGAATTTTCAAGCAGCTTAATAAAAAAGTGGGTATACTAGACGGAGCATACAAAGTTTTATCACAACCCAGACTTCAGTCGGGCTTTGAAAGGTCTTCTGGAAACCAGGAAATAGAACTACCGATCGACCAGCCTGTTCCTATTGATCAATGTCGAGTGGATTTGAGGCAAACACAGTGATTGCCTATTATTCCAGTTACACCGACTATTGCGAATGTGCTATCTGATCTCAACTGTGTGGCTGTCTTAGCCCATCCCATCCCATTTGCCACCCTTTCTCGCTAGACAAAGTACGTGATCACTAGAAAGCTCATTTTCTGGGACGCTCAATGGGCAATCAAGATCCCGCGTTACCCACGAAGGCGCCAACTTCGTCAGAATTTTATTCCCGAGACGTTGGTTACTGGTCTTTTCTGAAGTCGAGACCAGGAGACTCTGATGACCAGCTGCTCTTTTCACTTTGTGTTCCGGTCGCATTGGCTTATAACTGTTACTATCTTATCAAGTCGCAATCAAGTCATCGATGTAAGTAGTTTTGGCACGGTTTACGGTGAGGGTCGGGATATTATGTGGGATTTGGCCAAAATGAACTACCGCATACCCCCCCTTCTTGCCCTCATTCGGTTGCTAGAACTGGATTCACAAATTGTCGTCCGCCCAAACTCAGCTTTTTTGAACCTATATTAATCATTCCATAGCTAGTATTATGTACAGGTCCGATCCAAGAAGCCGGGAAATTCGCACTTCTACACAGTATTTAAGTGGTTTCGCTCGCCAGTGCGGGGAAGACCAGCGATGGACCCTCTACACATTCTTATCGTGGCTGTGGCGCGAGAAGGTGCCAGGACCCTGGTGGACACGAAACCTGTATTCTAATTCTTGTCTATCGGCGGGACTCCGTCGCCAGTCGTTTTTCTTTTCCTATATTTGTTTTTCAGTAGCACATCTATCATGCACCCAAAATATATATTTCAACGATATGGTCCATCTAGCGCAAGTTGGTCTATATGGCACTTGTGATTGTATCAAGTAGTTGTCCACCTGGCATAGACACCCCAAGTATCTTGTTTACCGTGATTATTGATGTGATCAATATCCCGAAATCCCGATTGGTGCCCTGTGAGTCGGACAATTGGACAGTCCATGGATGGGATTTTCTAGGGCTCACATGCCCGATCGGCAAACCGTGAGTGGGCCTGAGCATTCGGTCCGGGTAAGCTCAACCCACTTGAAAAACTTTATCTCTTCCCGATATTTGACCCGTTCTAGAACCATTCTAGCTTTACAACAACTCATCATTATTTCAAACGCCGTAATTCTCCAAGTAACTGAGCTTCTTGACCGTAATTTCAATGCTGGGTTTCTATAGCTGCGATGACTCACTGACCTCGGCCTTAGGGGTGGAGCACTCCTCCAGCTGCTCATACCAGCTGCGCGTTGTTCCTTGTGGGAGAGGTTTGACTCGTCTCCACCGAAGGAAACGTTGTGCCAGTGGGGCCTTCGGTAAGCGACCGTCCCACAAGGAATTATCCAGATTCCCTTGTGGCAGCTTAAACTGGGTCATCTTTATTATCTTTGAGCACGGGGTTGAATGAGTTTTCCGGTCACGACGAAAACCCTTCGGTCTACAAGAGGGTACTGCGAGTGAAGTCCTTCTGAGTGAAGTGGCAATACTAAACACCTTGGAAAGATTGATTGTAGAGAGTATGAAACTGGTATCCAGCAGAGTTCAATGACGTGAAATGAACAGTGCTACTCCACACAAATGAAAGAAATACATTAATAACCTTGTAAAAGTCCCTCATCTCCTCCACTTCCCTAGAATTCAAGGGTTCCAGGGTCACCATATCTTACCCTGGCCTCATTCATTGAAAGGTTACATCAACTAGAAAGAGTAGAAGG